AAGCTACACAGCTGATGCTTCCATTTTTTGCTGTAACAGGATACAACAACTACACAAAAATACTACCGTCTCTACCTTCAGGATCGTTAAGAGCTGTGCCACTGTCTAGAAGCTTTCATGGAAGATGTTCTTTTCACAGTGTGCAGGGATGATAAAATGTATTGGAGTGGAACATGGTCTGACATGGCACTCGAACAGTGGTTGCCTCATATGGACTGGCAAAACCCAGGGTTGACTTATTGATATAACTCACAAAGAGTCAGCCAGGACAAAATGGCTATTGACGGCATATGTTGTTGACCAGTACACACATGCTCTGTGCTCCTTGACAAATACCTTCACTGGCACGTAGTCAGAACAACACAAGGATAACCACTCAGGATGCATCAAACGTAATCAGAAGATCCTCCAGAAATTTGTAGACTACCTACAAACTCGTAGCCCATTCACTCTTCAAGAGGATCATGAACTTATAAATATTACAACAGGGCTAATATCCGGCCAACGGGTTAATGCTCAGGATTCTATCAACTTTGGCCAGACAATTCATGACCGATAAACAGATCAAAGTTTAGACATCATTCTAAGGAAATCAGTTATGTGGAAGGCCATCAGAGTAGTTGGTGAAGGTGCGAGCATGTCTTCAAGAGAATTGTACCACCGTCTGCACTCTTCCACTTACTCAAATGGACCTCCAGACCAAAGTATACAATAATTGCCTGTGATCTGGCAACAGTTTCCCCATCTTCATTCCACGATGATGGGAGCTGCCAGAGTGATTGATGGTAGTGGTATACTGCATCGCATAACTTGACGAAAGATCGGTACCATTGCTTCAGTTTGTGATTCATTTGTCTCTGCAGTTACTCGTGAAAAAAATACCTGAAATGCCCGAGTACCTGCATAAATATTCTTTGATTACTGCGATATCGCGATAACTAAAGAGCCAGAGCAAAAACGCCATCGGCTTCAGCATCCATCATCTCATTAAGTAGTGGTTTAAGACAGAACACCTGTTCCATAACACAAGGCAGCTTTCCTTTCCAACAAAATCTAAACAAGCAGAGTTTAATAAGACTTCTAAGTTTACATCTGAAAATTGCTCGTGTATATGTGAAGCATGCTGAAGGTGATGTTGTGATAGTCAAAAAGGCCCCTGAACTGGCGCACAGTCAGACACCCGTTCTTGCCACTGAAGATGATACTGGCATTCTGATCTTCCTCTATCATGCCAAGTGTACACGAGATATCTTCCTTGGCACAAAGCAATACACAATCCCCATTAGAATTGCTCAGGAGGTTTTGAGAAGAGAACTATTTATGCGTCTCGTGTTTGCTCATGCTATATCTCATTGTGACACGGCCTCAGCTTTGTATAGCAAGGGTAAGCTCAAACTGCTTCAAGTCTTGCAATCATCGTTGTGACACGGCCTCAGCTTTGTATAGCATGGGTAAGCTCAAACTGCAATCATCACAATAGATAAGGTCAGATGTGATTATTTTTGGTGATACAACAGCAACAAAGGAAAAGCTACGAATTGATGGGGAAACCTTGTCGAGCATCATCATCCAGAGGGTTAGATGAACTACGTTATTTGTATGTACTCTCACCAAAATATGTGTCTGGAACGTATTCCTCCAAGTCGTGCCATGTACTTCCACAGTCTCAGAGTACACCATCAAGTATCCACATGGCGACACCCTGGTACAGTGCTGAACAAGGAGGACTGTGGTTTGTCAGTGGAATCTGGTCATATTCAACCAATTATCGCAGATAAACCACCAGCCCCATTGACTTGCTTCGTCATGTGAGGGTCTCTCGTAAGAGCAGTGTTCGATTCTGTGTGTTTTGCAGCTGCTCCATGAAAGGGATCCCCTGTAGAGTTCACTGTAAATGTGTAGGACAGTGTGAGAACTATCTGCTTAACTTGCAAGTTAATGACTGCAGAGGACGTGTTTTATTAGTTCAGATTAAGTACAACATCTTCCCGTTCATGAATACAGTAAGCATGTTTTGCAAATACTTGTAGTCCTCGCAATTAATTATTATGTGTTATAAATCGGATAACGTAGCACTGACAATGAACCCCTCCAACATTTATAGGCCTGCGTGTACAAAATAAAAATGTAGGATGCTAAGTATTGGAAATACGGTTGTTAATTGCAGTAAATATTTAGTGTTCCAACCATATCTTCAAAGGTGTAACTCCTTATGAAATATAAGTCAGTTTTCGATATTAAAGAGACAGTTTAGTTATTTTTACATTAAGCTTATATTGTCAGTACTCATTATTTACAAGTAATGCCACACACACACTGGATCTATTTAAATTTTATCCCAATCTTTTGAAGGCAAGAAAATACAATACAGTATATGTAATGTGATAATTATGTACTACATATTATTAAACATTATTAAACTTTCCATACCATGGGAGTTATATAAATCACTGCTTTTCTTCCATATTCCTGGTGGCTATGGCGCCCATAGCGCATATCATTTAAATACACATTTCCCCAGTGGTGAATTTGGTTGAATTTTGGGAGGATGTTTGTTTGCACCTTATACAAAGCTCTTTCAGCATACCTGCACATTTGCTTGTTATACCAAATGTCCGAGTTCCTGTCAATTTCTATTGGTCAATTTCCGAAAGTCGTCAGTCTTCAGTAATTTAGCAAATTAACAAGTAATTAAACTGAAACTTTTCTCAAGCTGTGGGCGAGGAATGTCTAGGATAAGGAGAGTTACTGTAGAGGAATGTCTAGGATAAGGAGAGTTACTGTAGAGGAATGTCTAGGATAAGGAGAGTTACTGTAGAGGAATGTCTAGGGTAAGGAGAGTTATTGTAGGGGGATGTCTAGGGTAAGGAGAGTTACTGTAGAGGAATGTCTAGGGTAAGGAGAATTACTGTAGAAGAATGTCTAGGGTAAGGAGAGTTACTGTAGAGGAATGTCTAGGATAAAGAGAGTTACTGTAGAGGAATGTCTAGGACAAGGAGAGTTACTGTAGAGGAATGTCTAGGACAAGGAGAGTTATTGTAGGGGGATGTCTAGGGTAAGGAGAGTTACTGTAGAGGAATGTCTAGGGTAAGGAGAATTACTGTAGAGGAATGTCTAGGGTAAGGAGAGTTACTGTAGACGAATGTCTAGGATAAAGAGAGTTACTGTAGAGGAATGTCTAGGACAAGAAGAGTTATTGTAGGGGGATGTCTAAGGTAAGCAGAGTTACTGTAGAGGAATGTCTAGGAAAAGGAGAGTTACTGTAGGGGGATGTCTAGGATAAGGAGAGTTACTGTAGGGGGATGTCTAGGATAAGGAGAGTTACTGTAGGGGGATGTCTAGGATAAGGAGAGTTACTGTAGGGGGATGTCTAGGATAAGGAGAGTTACTGTAGAGGGATGTCTAGGGTAAGGTGAGTTACTGTAGAGGAATGTCTAGAGTAAGGAGAGTTACTGTAGGGGGATGTCTAGGATAAGGAGAGTTACTGTAGAGGGATGTCTAGAGTAAGGAGAGTTACTGTAGAGGAATGTCTAGGGTAAGGAGAGTTACTGTAGAGGAATGTCTAGGGTAAGGAGAGTTACTGTAGAGGGATGTCTAGGATAAGGAGAGTTACTGTAGAGGAATGTCTAGGGTAAGGAGAGTTACTGTAGAGGAATGTCTAGGGTAAGGAGAGTTACTGTAGAGGGATGTCTAGAGTAAGGAGAGTTACTGTAGAGGGATGTCTAGGATAAGGAGAGTTACTGTAGAGGAATGTCTAGGGTAAGGAGAGTTACTGTAGATGAATGTCTAGGGTAAGGAGAGTTACTGTAGAGGGATGTCTAGAGTTAGGAGAGTTACTGTAGGGGGATGTCTAGGATAAGGAGAGTTACTGTAGAGGAATGTCTAGGGTAAGGAGAGTTACTGTAGGGGAATGTCTAGAGTTAGGAGAGTTACTGTAGGGGGATGTCTAGGATAAGGAGAGTTACTGTAGAGGAATGTCTAGGGTAAGGAGAGTTACTGTAGGGGAATGTCTAGAGTTAGGAGAGTTACTGTAGGGGGATGTCTAGAGTTAGGAGAGTTACTGTAGGGGGATGTCTAGGATAAGGAGAGTTACTGTAGAGGAATGTCTAGGGTAAGGAGAGTTACTGTAGAGGAATGTCTAGGGTAAGGAGAGTTACTGTAGGGGGATGTATAGAGTAAGGAGAGTTACTGTAGGGGGATGTCTAGAGTTAGGAGAGTTACTGTAGAGGAATGTCTAGGGTAAGGAGAGTAATTGTAGAGGGATATTTAGGGTAAGGAGAGTTACTGTAGGGGGATGTCTAGAGTTAGGAGAGTTACTGTAGAGGAATGTCTAGGGTAAGGAGAGTAATTGTAGAGGGATATTTAGGGTAAGGAGAGTTACTGTAGGGGGATGTCTAGAGTTAGGAGAGTTACTGTAAAGGGATGTCTAGGGTAAGGAGAGTTACTGTAGAGGAATGTCTAGAGTAAGGAGAGTTACTGTAGGGGGATGTCTAGAGTAAGGAGAGTTACTGTAGGGGGATGTCTAGAGTAAGGAGAGTTACTGTAGGGGGATGTCTAGAGTAAGGAGAGTTACTGTAGAGGAATGTCTAGGGTAAGGAGAGTTACTGTAGGGGGATGTCTAGGGTAAGGAGAGTTACTGTAGGGGGATGTCTAGGGTAAGGAGAGTTACTGTAGGTGGATATCTACAGTAAGGAGAGTTACTGTAGGGGGATGTCTAGGGTAAGGAGAGTTTCTGTAGGGGGATGTCTGGAGTAAGGAGAGTTACTGTAGGTGGGATGTCTAGGGTAAGGAGAGTTACTGTTGGGGAATGTCTAAAGTAAGGAGAGTTACTGTAGGGGGATGTCTAGGGTAAGGAGAGTTACTGTAGAGTGAGGAGTTTCAGTAGATTACTCTGGGAAATTGTTGTTTCTTCACCTGTATCCATGTGATAATATTGTTACTAATATCGGACCTTTGATGCATACTTATATACGGTATTAAATCCTCTCTGGTATTTGCAGGAAGGCCACGATTCCACGCCCTCCTTGGATGATGTGGTGGCCTTGCCTGATCCTGCAGGGTCCTCGGCGTGGGTCTACCACCCCGAGGAAGAAAAGAACCAGACGCCACTGTACCCAGTGGGCTTGGACCTCTTGTCGGACTCCCCAAATGGCCCTCGAAGGCTCCCTGCCCGCCATGCTTCCTTCGTCAGCCCACGTTATGCCCGAGTTCACCAACGGCCACAGCGGGCACAAAGTTTTGCTGTGCGACGAGATTTGCAAATCAGCGAAGGACATATGCGTCCACCTGCCCCCGTGACGTGTCCAGAACTCCTTAATTCTCGACTTTTCTCCCAATACGCTAGGCCTGATGCTCGCAAGATCCACCGTTCAAATTCTGTCAACGGGAGACTTTTGCTAGAAGAGAACAGTGGTGGTGCTACCCTGAGTCGTAAGTTCCATGCCTGTTCGCTGGATGACCTCGACACTGAGCCTGTGATCCAAGTTGGTTTGTTGTCTCGTGGGCGAAGTCGATCGGAACAGAGCCTGACCTCCACTGTCCAGGATTCTTCTGCTGACAATGGAGAAATGGCTTGTGTACATCGCTCAACCAGCGTCCAGGAAAGACTTCTTGATGGGAAAACTGTCCTCACTTCCTTTGGTCCAATAAATCGCCCCATGGCTCGCGTCGCAAAGCCTAAGGGACCAGCTCCACCTCCTCCGACAAAACCTAAGCCAGTACTACCGTCTTCTTCTCTTATTCAAACTGTGTTCAAGAAAGAAGAACAAAAGAACATGAAAGAAATAAGCGACACCACCACTGCCACCACTACAAAGCAAACAGAGGAAGAAGAAAAATCCGAAAACAAAGCATTAAATGAAAAAGAAGGGCTCCCAGAGCTGCCAAGACACCCTGAAGGGCTTTTAAGAGACCCCAAACAATTGACAGGAAATACCAAGAGGGTGTCAACACTGGAGCGTCATTTACCGCTCCCTGTCATTGAGGAGAACATAAAAAACACACGTAAGCGTCCTGCGCCTCAGCCACGCGTCATTCTACCTTCTCTTTACGATGATAAATCTTCAAGAGGAGCGTTAATAAACCTTCAGCTCGATAACGCGAAACCATCACGACCTGAGATAATCAAACCTCCGCGTCCATCCATAATCGACAAGCCTCTTCGTCTGGTTGACAAAAACATGACAATTGCACGTCCATCTCCAGTGAAGAAACCTGAAAGAAGACGAACAGAGGGAGAAAATGCTGCCAACCTGCAAAAGCTTGAAGAGGTACTCACTAATATTCTTGATAACGGAGCTCCAGCCCCTCTTCGAGCCACCAAGTCTGATGAAAATATAATGGAGAGTTTAAAGGCCCTTGATATGGATACTAAAATACCGAAGAGCATATTAAAGAAAGGTCCAACCAAACCCAGCAAATATGAAGTTGCTCACAGGGAGGCTCTTGAAGATTCCAAGGCTCTTTTGGACCAGCTTCCGCGAGGTGAACTCCAGCGCAACAAGATTGTACTTCGTGTTCCCTCTTTCAGAACAGCTGGATGTCAAACTGAAGCCTACCGCCCAGTGCGCCGCCGTGCATCTTGTGCACAGACCAATCTTAGTGTAGCACCACTGTACAAAGAAAATACTACAAGTGTAAGCTCTAGCACAAAGTCATCTTCGCGAACATCACCAAAAGAACACTGGACCAAAACAGAAAGACTTGATGACCCCCAGGAACCACCTGTGCTCGAGTCATCGTCATCGTCATCAGGTTATTCGTCTCCTGAGGTGGGCAGCAAAGACCCATCTCCTACTCATTCTGGTCCTCCATCGCCAGCCTCGTCGTCAGTTGTTGTTAGTGACGACGACGAGAGACGACCGGAAACCAATGTTACAGTCATAGAGGTCAATAAAAGTGAGAAAATGCTATCAAGGCTGCCTCTCTGGCATGGCCTAGACCCCGTGCCACCCCCACGGCCACCGAAACCACTCCGCCTACGCCACATGTCCGACGCAGCGGCACTCATGGGCACTCATGGTGGTCTACTGGTCCCCGTCCACCGAAGAACCTCACAGCTCCCGATTTACGAAGACGTATTTGGTCTAGCAGCTCTCACTGAGAACGTCATGCTCTTAACTGAAGCCATAAACCCCGTATTGGTTCAGTCCACAAGACCTAATGAGGGAGAGGACACACCCTCATCTACAACGCCCAGAGTCGTTGACTTCATAAGGAAAACAGTTCATCCATCCCTCCAAGATGACAAACCGTGGGATGGACGCACGACTCTTGTACCACGCCCGCGACCCGCTGTCCGTACCCATAGCCTGTCCTTACCACGACCATCACTGGCTCCAGCCCCGCGCTCACGACAAACTAAGGATTCCCGGTCTCCGTCTCCCACTCGGAAAATAGACCAAAGCCATCAGATGAGTTACGACAACGGGCCTTCCACGGCGGCATATTTGGCCTCTCTAGAACTCCTTGCTTCTCACTACCGCCATCAAGCACTTGCTAATGCTAAGGTAAGCTAGTAAGTCATTTTCTCCATGGTTGTGTTAAAGACATCCAGCACTACTAAATTCCACGGTTGATCTGCAGAGTCCATGTTAGTCATAAGTCCTTAGGACATAACCGGCCTGTCACTCCCTTTCTACAATGCAACACAGTCATTCAGACTCTCCTTACACAACACGACACACTCCTTACACAACACTACACACTCCCCTTACACAACACAACACAGTCCTTCACACTCCCCTTACACAACACTACACACTCCTTCACACTCTCCTTACACGACACAACACACTCCTTCACACTTCCCTTACACAACACAACACACTCCTTCACACTTCCCTTACACAACACAAAACACCCCTTCACACTCCTCTTCCACAACACAACACACTCTCCTTACACAACACAACACACTCCTTGCACATCAAAACATACTTCTTACACATCAAAACACACTCCTTACACAACACAACACACTCCTTCACACTCTCCTTACACAACACAAAACACCCCTTCACACTCCTCTTCCACAACACAACACACTCTCCTTACACAACACAACACACTCCTTGCACATCAAAACATACTTCTTACACATCAAAACACACTCCTTACACAACACAACACACTCCTTCACACTCTCCTTACACAACACAAAACACCCCTTCACACACTCTTTTTACACAACACCACACACTCATTCACACTCTCCTTACACAACACAACACACTCCTTCAAACTCTCATACACAACACAACACTCCTTCACACTCTTTTTTACACAACATAACACACTCATTCACACTCTCCTTACACAACACAACACACTCCCCTTACACAACATACTCCTTTATACTTACCTTACACAATACTACACTCCTTCACACTCTCATACACAACACTACACATTCCTTCACACTCTCCTTACACAACACAACAACCACACTGCTTCACACTCTCCTTACACAACACACACTTTTCACACTCCCCTTACACAACACACACACAACACAACACACTGCTTCACACTCTCCTTACACAACACAGCACACTTTTTCACACTCCCCTTACACACCACAACACACTCCTTCACACTCTCCTTACACAATACAACACACTCCTGGCACAACAAAACATACTTCTTACACAACAAAACACTCTCCTTACACAACACACTCCTTGCACAACAAATCATACTTCTTACACAACAAAACACACTCCTTACACAACAAAACACACTCCTTACACAACACTATATACTCTTTCACACACTCGACACACCCAAACTAATCTTCACGGTTTGGTTCATTGTCCTGGCCAGTCATATGACATAACATAGTGTACAGTCAATGGTGTCACACAAGGCTTCCCTAGGACTTGTGAGTGGGACCCAGGGCCGGATTAACCATAAGGCTAATAAGATTGTAGTCTTAGGCACTCTTGATATTTAGACCTTCGAAGTACTTAAACAGGCCCTTATCTCTTATGAGCCTTAGGCCCTTATATCTTATCAGCCTTAGGCCCTTCACAACTTTAATCTCCTCTGGTGTGACCTATAGACCGATACTGTTGTTGGGGATCCTCCTCTTATACTGCTTGACTGGGGGTCACTAATACTAAGGGTAAATACTTAACTCGAATCTTAATTTCTAAGGGTCGCTGCCACCAGACCCCCTCTGGACAGCATGTAGCTCGTTAGGTAGCGTGGAGAGTGGACTAGGCATTGGGTTAGGTTTTCCATCGACCAGATCGATAAGGGGAAGGAAGGGTGAAACCAATAACATGTCTTAATTAATTTATTCCTTATAAAACATACTGGTAAAAAACATACAAATGAATTGGTCTTCCTCAGAAGAACAACGAAAATGTTGGTTACCCAGACGGGCACCAGACTCTTACATTAATGGCGTGTCATCCACATACTTATTGCCTAACAATCCGTGACCACCTTACCTCGGTCATTCCTTCTTACACTATCCCTTAACACATCAGACTGCTCCACCTGTATGGAATATAGCACCGTCGGTTATCATACATAGTAGCACCATCTCAACACACATGTTACACTCCACCCCTGCAGGTATGGGATTCCTTGTGACTTTTAGGTATACACAACAGGCACCTCGTTCGCACAACGTCCTCGGAGGGCTTCACCAAGAGACATACCAGTACTATTTCTATGCCTGGTATTATAGGTCGCTCCAAGTGACGACCGCAGAGTTTCTCACGGTCTCCTTATTTGTTACTACTCATTTGGAGTGGTGTGCTGGAAATCCACAGGTTCACAGTGGATTGGCATAGCTAGGAGTAGTCATCACCTGGTGGGACGCTCACAGGGATAATGGCTGCCGCACAGCAAGGCACTCCGACCGCATGGGACCTGAGGTGACGGTAGAACGGAGGGCACTGAGAAATATTGCCTGACGGGCGGTTATCACACCCCCTAACACATTACTATTACACTTATACATCAGGCACAGCTTTAAACTGTAATAACTTCTATATAAGCCTTAATTATAGGGCGGGATATAGCCCGATAGGACACTGACCTGAGGTGACGGTAGAACGGAGGGCACTGAGTGCAGTGCCCCTCCGCTTGTCACCGCGTAGGCCTACAGTTTCCAATCTTTAATTTTTACTTTTATTTCTTACGGTTCTCACCTGAACACTTTTCGGCATATTGTCACTCATGCCGTATAAACACATATTTTAACCCTAAAGTACAAACTTAGGTAAGGTTCTGGTTTGCTAATTCGGGGGTAAATTCATTGGGTTATAATATCAACGCGGCACACTCGAGGCGGGTACAGGACGCGCCTTAAAACAAAGGCTGAATGTTCATGGCGGGGGTGTATCAACTTCACTTAAAACTGTAATGAGGGATCCTCCTCTCACACATTGCACTATTTGAACACAGACATAAGATTCTCTGATCACTGTACCTGTCGTGGGTATATGTCACGTGAGGATACGAGGTGTATTAAGTTAATACCGACGCATACAAGATATTTCCTTTCAAGTATAGTTTCTGGGTTACTTCCAACACCTCACATAGTTCTGATACATTTATCCTTTTTCCAGATCATTGTTTTCATGTATTTTCATATGATATCTGTGGAAGTTATGTTCGCTACACGTTCACAGACGTAAATAGTATGACCTTCAAACCCTGATCCACACTTAGTCCTACAGTACACTAGTCTGGCTCAACTGGACTTTAACATTCATCTTATGGATACCCTGAGTTCTCCTTAATGCTATGAATACATACAATTAATATGATATAACTGTACCTGGGTACAATACAACACATGGTCTAGTAACATTGAGTAGGTGAGTTATCCTTTATCAATGTTTCCCGTTTTCTGAGATTCTACAAGCTCGGTGGATTTGAATGTTATATAGCGTAATATGAATTAAATGGGGTTTTTAGGAATGACAAGGATGTGCGCAGTACACTCTCACACTGTCTTCACCGGGGTCTGTGCTCTTGTGGTCATAAGGAAATATTTCCTTCATCTTATTGACGGTTGTACCTAGTTATTGTTGCCAATGTTATGTTCCAAAACAGACTCCATAATGACATGCATGACCTCACAAGCCCCTAATGTGGGCGTGAGAATATGTGAGCCTATGAACGGTGTGCAAGATGTAGGCCTAAGATTTCAGTCGTCTTACAACACAATTCCTCAAAGGGTTCTGTTCTTTCACCTACTCTCTTCCTTCTTTTTAATTAATGATTTACTTTACACTCAGACTAATTCTATCCATTCTTACGCTCATGATTCTACTCTTTACTTTTCTTCACATTTTCTCCTTCCCCTTAACTCTCAAACTAGACATGTTTCTAGAGCTGATATCATTCCATCTAACAATCCGGATCTGTGCAGCATCTCCTAATGGGGAGGTACAAACTTAGTTAAATTCAATAGTAATAAAACACAGTATTTACCAATTACACTTTCCAAATTAGATGATCTCCCACCAATTACATTTCAGGACGCAATCAATCTGTCAAATTCTAAATTAGATATGCTAGGCCTCACCATTTCCTCTAAAATGTCACGGAAGCCACAAATCCTCAACATTGCTAAAGCTGCCTCCCGGAAGCTGGAAATGCTGTACAGTTGCCGTAGCTACTTCACTCCTGAGCAGTTGCTTCTAGTATATAAGGGATTGATTCGTCCTAACTTGGAGTACTGCTCTCATATCTGGGGTGGCTCTTCTGTCCAACTGTTAGATAGGGTGGAATCAAAAGCATTTCGTCTTATTAACTCTCCTCCTTTAGTTGACAATCTCCCTTCCCTTTCTCTTCGCCACAATGTTGCTTCACTCTCTCTCTTTTACAGGTACTTTAACGGGCAAAAATCGGTGGATTTGGCATCCTGTGTACCGCCGGCAAGGCCATGGGCTCGTAACACACGTCTTGCCCGCGGTGCCCACCGTTTCTCTGTGGAATGTCTGTCACACTAGAATAACCCGTTATAGTACACCATTCTTTCCTTACACAGCCAAACTGTGGAATGCTCTGCCTTCTTTTGCGTTTCCATACTCATATAATCTGTCTCACTTCAAAAGGCTGGTTTTCAGGCATCTTTGTGGTGTAGATAAATATATTTTTATTTTCTGTTTTTAATTTCTTTTTACTCTTATTTTTTTCCCCCAGGCCTCCTTGTGGGTCAGTGACTTGTGCCCGAGTGAGTTGTTCCCCATAAAAAAAAAATACTCCTTCTAAATAACTATCTTTATACAACACCACACACTCCCTCGCACTCCCCTTCTACTTCACTTTACCGCTTCCTTCCTCTTCTTTTGTTCGCTTCACTTTTATACACTCTTCTTATCATCTAGCTCAGTGGTTCTCAACCTTGTTTGTCCCATGCACCCCTTTCACCATATGTCAGAATGTCATTCCCCCCTCCTTTCCAAGATTGTCTGCCTCAAAAAGTGCATTCCAAATAATATGCATATAATACTGAAAATCCTTTATTTTTTCCATATTAGTACATATACATTTACAATTTTACATGGATTATTTTTATAGTGGAGTTTTACAAATTAAATGCCAATTGAAAATGTTGATGGATTTATAAAACTTGAATAAAAGTAAAATAGTTTTTTTTTATTTATAATGAATTACTTAACAGACCAAACTGAAGCATAATGCAATAAACAAAAAGTTCAATAGAATACCAGGATATTGTAAATTTGTAATTAATTTTATTCAGATGAAGATTACAGTCAATGAGAAACCTGTGATTGTTTTTTCTTCGCCAATTCTGGGATACGCGGAGGAGTGCTTGAAAGGGCACAACGCAGGTCATTTTCTACCTCTAATCTACTACGTTGCTTCGTTTTAATTTGCAACAGAGTTGAAAAGCCTGACTCACAAAGATATGTCGACACAAACGGAAGCAATGCACGGATAGCTCTTTCTGCCACTTTTGGGTAGGAATCGCACATCAAGGGCCAAAATTCTGTGATTGATTTCTCATCGAACATATCTCTTGCTACCGAATCAGTTTTCCCCCCCTGAAAACCTGAATTCCCCCCCTGGGGAGAATTCCCCCCTGGTTGAGAACCCCTGATCTAGCTAATATCCGTTCTTTCCTTATTTATTTATTTTTCTTTATTTCTGACGTCAGTTTCCAGGGCTTCTTTGGCTGTAAAGACGACTAGACAGTGATGTTTAGGATATTTGTAAACAATTAGTTGAAAATTCCAGGCCTCTTAAGATGATTTTTCCCTGTTTCTTGAGTGCTCTCTCATAACCTCACATCTAGCGTCCGGATTTAAGAATATATGTGATCTATTTCCAGCAACTCCAACTGCAGCAGCGGCTATTGATACAGCAACAGCAGCAACAGCAGCAACAACAGCACCAACAGAATCAGCACCAACAGCAACAGCACCAACAGCATCAGCACCAACAGCAACAGCACCAACAGCATCAGCACCAACAGCAACAGCAACAACAGCAACAGCAGCACCAACAGAGACATCAAAGACATAGGTCGGAGGAAGAGAAGGTACAGCCCGCAGCAACCCTTGTCTCGCCTGTCAAGGAGGAGAGTGAATGTTGAGCCACGGAAAGTGATCAGCTATGACTTACGAGTATACAAGTAGCACGAGTTAGAGCAGTGAAAGTAAACTTCTGATATCTGAGGCTGCAGTAAGCCCTTGTTATGGGCAGTGGTTAACAGTGGCTACACTTCAGTGCTAACTTGTAATGTTGCAGTGATTTTTTTGCGATGGTATTGAAGTTGTAAGCATAAACAGAAGTAAGCAACTCCCACTAACTGGAGTCAGCTGCATAAAACTTCAGTGATCAACAGTGTCAAAAGTGTGTACAGTTACAGTGATCAGATCTGCAGACACAAGAATCAGACAGTATTATGTTAGGCTGCTAGTGTGAACGCTCCTAACTAGACAATTAATAGTGTGGGCTGATTTGTGTATCAAGTCCAAAGTGTATTAAAATAAATAATAAAATTTTTAAAACTGTTACTACTACTACTACTACTACTACTTTTTTTTTTTTTTTTTTTTTAACGTGGCCGTCCAGCCTCCCCCAATAGCCACACCTTCGCCACCATTTAATTACCTTAATATTAAATATCCTAATACATAAGAAGCTATCCTATCTGTGTTAAATTAGTTGAGCCGCAGATCTATGCGGCATTCAGTGACTGTAGCCTCATAGTCAATATCTGCAGCAGTTGTCGGAGCAGAAGCTCTCGGCAGAGGCAGAGCAAAAGGAGAGAGAAGGAGTCGATCTCATCCAGGCTGTAACATAACTTCTGGGCTGCTGCTTTGTTCGGAGATCAACGCTGCGAGTCTGGCATAGAAACATCTTGCACTTGGGCCCATCCCACCAGAGGTTGTGAACACTAGAGGAGTGAAGCTGCCTTGATCAACGTTTTGAATTCTCTCCCCATATGCCCTTCTCTTGTCGTTCTCGTTCCTCCTATGTGCAGCATCGAGAGCTAGGTTACGGTGACATGCGGCCATGGGATCAAAAATCCTGATGTCGAAGAAAGCTCGCTGTCCCCGCGTCCAGAATCCTCGAGCACTGACGTCCACACGGGCTTCGTTAGATGTGTTTGAAGTCCTGTGTTGGAAGATCTCGCCATCCAATGGAAGGAGGGTCGGTTCTACCATGACGTCCCGGCAGATTTCCTTCAACATATTTGCTGTGAGATCCCTTACCTCGTCATGCCTCATGCATATGAAGCCCCCCTTCTTGCACACCATGGCGTGATCGCTATCATAGGAAGAGCCACACACGCATTGGGAGGGCAAACCTTCTACTGGCCAACCGTACCTTAGAACAATGGCATCTGTAAATTCTTGTTTATTAAGGCTGAAACCATTTGCCCTTATCGGTAACGTAGTTAACCAGTTCGAGGCGCCCACCTCCTGCGCTATAGCTACTTTTTTTTCAAATTTTCTGGAACCTGCAGCAATAGTTGCTGCAACTTATCATTTTGGCAGTGCTGTCGATCTGTCGTAATGGACCTACGAATCTTATTTACTTCGCTGGTATCCACTTCCCCTGTTGCATTCTGGGCTATTATGTGGTCCGTGAGGGTTGCCGTGAGCTTAAGTGAATTTTGATGTTCAGTGGCAGCAATCACCTCTGGATTTGTTAGTCCCATCCCTCCCAGTCTTGGTGGAAGTGCAAGAAGTGCTCTTTCTGCTGGGGTTAAGTCAGGGTGTTTCACTCATTTGGGAATGAACTTGACACTGATAGCTTCTTCCAGAGGGTGGAGGAGGGGCCGATATCAGGGATAGTACGCATCAGGTAGTTCCAGTGATGCTTGACTCCATGGGCGAATGCTGCAAAGGCCGCATGTGGCTCTGTGTTAGCAATCTCAGACAGAGCTTGGATTTCACTAACCCACTCATTCACCTTTCCCGCTACGTATTCGGTCTTGAAGTCCGTAGTGCCAATTACTGCGCCTAGATGTCTTTGGCCGTCCTTAGTTATTTTGACCTCACTTCCGCCAAAAACCTCCATTGCCCGTTCATAATGTTCTGGCTTCACGATGAGGAAGGACTTGCTGGCGTTTGGGTGGTACCCTATTTGTGGACCTCGTGATGTTACCAAGTCCCACCACTTTTTGATGCTCTCCACTTTTCCTGCTCCTGTAAGGTCATCAGCATATGCCACTTGTTTGACCCCAGTTGTTTCAAATTTTATTTCTTGTTGGAGCACTGATAGGCCTATTGCATACATTGCCATTGCAACGGGGTCCCCCTGTGTTGTTTCCTCGGTTGACTGTAGGATGGTATCACCTCGTAGAGCCTTGTTGTTTACTATGTAGAGGTCTGATGGATTCCTATACGAATTTTCAACATACATTGCAAAGCTCGGACACTTGATCTTGATGTTGTGCAGTGCAGCTTTGCGGTTAAGTATGTTGAATGCGTTTGAAGCATCCACCAGGAGAACGGCCTCACAATCACGCTGCTCAAATATCAATCTCATGGCGTGAATGGCAGCCTCTCCACCAGCCTGGTGGCCAGCACACACTTGTAGGTTCCCTGCTGCTGCCCTGACATCATCCTACTACTACTACTACACACACTCACACACAATATACAGGTATATATATTAATTATTTATTTATTTATTTATTAACCTGGTCATCGAACTCTTACTCAAATTCTTTCCTGTTTTAATTCTTGTCTTTGTCCACCCTTTTAGTCCACCCTTTATTCCACCCCTTTAGTCCACCCTTTTAATCCACTCCTATAGTCCACCCCTTTAGAAAACCCCTTTAATCCACTCCTATAGTCCATTCTCTCTCTCAACAAAACATCTCACAATTATTGCCTTGTTACATTTACTTTAACCCATAATTAAAAGAGTTGACAAATATTGAAGTTAAATCGCAACATAACCTTACCCCTCGGCACTCCAGTTTAATATAACACCTATACAACTTTAGTAGTACAGGAATAGTTGCCAACTACTCTATAAAATTTTACGTTTATTATAATTACTTAGTGTGGTGGACCTTTTTGTTTCCTTTATGTTAGACTTATACTGATTACATGCACAGTCCCCTTCACTAGTGCGTTTACAGGGGCTCATTGTATAGCCTAGGTACAGTCCCCTTCACTAGTGCATTTACAGGGGCTCGTCATACAGTCTAGGTACAGTCCCCTTCACTAGTGCGTTTAAAGGGGTTTTATAAACATTCCACAAATCATTACATTGAGATATTTGTTTTAATATTGTTTTAATTTGATTCTTTACTATGTTTACTTTTGCGATTTTCCTTCTGTCGAATGTAAACAAACACAGCGCTGCCACACTGCACTAAACCTGACGAGCCCCTGTAAACGCATCAGTGAACGGGACTGTACAAGTGTGAAGATCTTATGCAAGTTTGTTAGTAGATTGATATTATATATATATATATATAAAATGTGTGAATATCAGGTGTAGTTTTTGGAATTAATACCACTTTCAATATTGGCCCTTTTTCGGGTGGGTGGGGTAGTGTGGGGGGCACTCATTATACAGCACATCCAGGCGATATAAAATAAGTTCAAGAAAACCTCAGTAATCTCATTATACTTACTGTGCACTTATAAAGAACAACCCATTAAAATCAGTAAAAAATCTGCATGATGTATCTGCATTCTAAATACTTATCCTCGGTCACTTATGTTGACTAATACATATACACTGTTATACTGTTCCCGATAATGTACAAAGGCGGCAGTTGTAAATGTGAAAACTGACTAAGGTGTTGAATTCATTAAACTGATATAACTTTATTCTCTCTAAATATAACTTTTTGGATCAAGACTTTAAAGTAAGGCAGAATGAACACGTGTAACATTTTCCAGAATGATAACATTATATGTCACTGTACAAACGAGAATGTTGAGATTAAGAAGAGTTAATACAGTAATAGTAACTATATTGTTGAGGTATTCTTAATCTTTGTGGCAATAGATAATTTACTCACATTCAGGAAAAACTGAAAACTGAAGTAAATTTCAATCTCTTACTAGTTGTAAACCTTTAATTTTAATAACAGTAGAAAAATAATGACCCCATTTCCATGAGAAGTAGGAATGGTAAGGTAGTGTTTTGTTCAGCTTGAGATAACTAAAGCTTAAGCCGACTGACTGATGAGTCTCCCACCAGATGAAGTACAACTTTCATGCCAAAATTTTCATGTTGATTCGTGATTATGAATTGACATGTACTATAGTCTCATCTCTTAACAATTCCGACGCCCATAACGGTGTTTTTACTTAACGGAGACACTTGGGAAAATAAGAGTCACTTTACGTTAATATCCAGGACTAATAAGACTCATGTTTACAACTTTGACAGTAATGACATCCTGTAGTTCACTGAACATCTCTTTAAATTCTATCCTAATGCCCAAGATGATTTATTATACGTACAGACCAAAATTTGGTTCGCCCAAGGTGTAATGCACGCTGATCTCTACAGAAGCTGTATGAAGTAACGAAGGACCAGGAATACTCTAACATTTCGTCTTGATGTCACTAATAGCGCCCTTTGAGTAACCAGACAAGCTTCGAGTCACCTAACCTAACCAAAACTGATTAAGTAACGAATTTGTATAACCTTATAGATATAACAGCAATTCAAGAACCGAGAACCACTTTACTCATAGATGCCTCAGGTCATTTATTTTAGCTCGTCGCCAGTAGCCTGAGACAGACAACTTCTTATTCATTAAAGTAAAGGGAAAACTCATCTAATTCATAGTACTATTTGTTGATTCATCCTAAGCTAGACAGTGATTTTCTAATTCAAGAGAAATAACATGAACACATCTTCATTCTCGTGCTGTAACTCTAGTGCACTGTACAAACTGTAGAGCTGTTATGAGCTAACAGTAATAATTAACCACTGAAATGACGTGAAGTACCGTTTATTTATGAGAATAATTCTGCTGATTCACTGCAGAGGCTGGAGACTTGTTCTAAATTATACAAGAAATCATTAATTTATGTGAAGTGACTTGAATATCTATCACACTCAGGTGACTGACTCCTTATTCACTGTCATTAGTTAGGTGTCTACGCGCGAAGTTTATCTTAGTATTTGTACACCATGGTGGGTTGTCCGTAGCCATCACCCACATAACACTACCAAACCTCCTGTTGGTGCTCACCCCAGCCTGTTTGGGTCGGGCTCTTCGGCAACAGATCCCCGAGCCTTGTGATATGTAATGGAGAACTCTGAGATTGAAGATATAATTTTGTAAAACTTGAGGCGGTGTTTCATAAATTCTTGGTAGATAGCTTTTGCACATTACCAATTCATATATGAATACAACAATCTACATAAAATGTGTAAATCCTTGATATTGTTGTTTAACATTAAACATGTAAATGAAAATACATGTGTTGTAGTGTAAAATGTTTGTCCTACAAGATATACGTATCCCAATATAGAAATAATATTGTCTTCCTAGAAACTATTATTACCTTTATAAGCTTTAACTATTTCTCTAAGTGTACTGAAAATGTGTGATAAAAAAAGAAAGAAT